CCATCCACATAATTCCGTCGATATTTTGAGAATTTACTGCTTTTTCTTCCAGATGAAATATTTTTTCACCCAACGCTTGCTAAATATATTCTATTTACTTGATATTATTAAGATTTAAACGATGTGCTAAACGTTATTCACAAAGATAACCATTTGAATTTGCTTACTGTGATATAAGTACATTTTATGTATTATAAACAAATATGGCACCCGTAGTATAATTTAAATAATTTGATTACTATGCACAGTACATAATGATACTAAAAAATTTTCAAATTAATACAATTTAGAATAAAAATGTAGCATCATTCTTTATAAGATGCAAAAATCATGTGTACTGTTGCTGCCTAATACAAAAAAAAAACTAAAACATTATTACAAAGAAAAAAAAAATATAGAAGTAGCGTAAATAGTTTACCTTATAAGCCTAATATTTTTAAAATATATAATATGGTATTACAACTTTATTTTACAACGAATAAGATAATTCAATAGATACTTATAAGAATATCAATTATCCAATGAATAGCTTTGATTGCAACCAACGCAGTTATAATTGCAGGGAAAGTAAAGATATGGAAGTATTTGCTTTATATTAAAAGGAAAAAAAAAAGAAAGAAAAAGAAAAAGAAAAAACAAATTTAAGAAAATATTAATTCCATTTAATGCATAAACAATATATTTGTCTTGCTTGCACAGTGAAAAATAATCTAATTATTAAAATATTTACATCTATCTAAATGTGAGAGCATAAACATTTAAACAATTAATATTTAATAATATAGTATTCAAATTTTACTCATTAACTCTGATATATCCACATCTTTATTAATAGCGATATAATACATTTTATAAAGGATATACATGCATATCGTTTGTATGTTGTCTTCAATTTATAAAATAAAATTGTAAGATCAGTTTTTCAAATTTGTATTAAAACCAAAAATGTGGTATATATAGCATATTATTTTATAGAAATAAGTTTTATTTACCATATGTGTAATGCACAAAATTATGCTGTTCACTTTATTGATACAGAACCTCTTATTCTCGAAGTTATATTGTTTGACTGGTTATTATACTTTATGGAATAAGTATTTTGACAGTTATAAAACAAATGATAAAATATCTACTCCAAAGTTTGGAGTTCAAACTGCCTTTCCTGTTAAAATTATACAGGCTTAGTAAATATGTATCTTCAATGAAGTTTACTATTAATTAATAAACTATATAGCGATCTTTTTAATTTTATTCTTACCAATAGTTTATAATAAAACTAATATCTTTGTACTTAATTTATTAAATATTACTCTATGCTTAATAAGATATACACCTGAGTGTTCCAAAAAGACTTCTGTTAAATTGTGTCACACATGAATTTATAATTATGATTTCATTGTATTCTTATAATAATTGAAGTTATATTAATTATCTTTTATACATATTATGTTATTTTTATTTTTATTATATTAATGTGTTCATTGTGATTTCCTTTATTAAATATATGCAATAAGTCAATCACTTATTAAAATTTTACATGTCCATTTAGTCAATTTTATGAATAAAACAAATTTTCAATTATAATGCATATGATTTAGAAAAAAAGGTGAAGCAATAGCAAAACCATATACAAATATTTAATCTAAAAATGTATATAGGTGCTGCAAATGCAACACTCCCTTCCTACCTGTGATCTATGAAGTTTACTAGTCAGCTTATTGCATTTACTTATTGATAAAACATAATAATAATAATAATAATAATAATAATAATAATAATAATAATAATAATAATAATAATAATAATAATAATAATAATAATAATAATAATAATAATAATAATAATAATAATAATAATAATAATAATAATAATAATAATAATAATAATAATAATAATAATAATAATAATAATAATAATAATAATAATAATAATAATAATAATAATAATAATAATAATAATAATAATAATAATAATAATAATAATAATAATAATAATAATAATAATAATAATAATAATAATAATAATAATAATAATAATAATAATAATAATAATAATAATAATAATAATAATAATAATAATAATAATAATAATAATAATAATAATAATAATAATAATAATAATAATAATAATAATAATAATAATAATAATAATAATAATAATAATAATAATAATAATAATAATAATAATAATAATAATAATAATAATAATAATAATAATAATAATAATAATAATAATAATAATAATAATAATAATAATAATAATAATAATAATAATAATAATAATAATAATAATAATAATAATAATAATAATAATAATAATAATAATAATAATAATAATAATAATAATAATAATAATAATAATAATAATAATAATAATAATAATAATAATAATAATAATAATAATAATAATAATAATAATAATAATAATAATAATAATAATAATAATAATAATAATAATAATAATAATAATAATAATAATAATAATAATAATAATAATAATAATAATAATAATAATAATAATAATAATAATAATAATAATAATAATAATAATAATAATAATAATAATAATAATAATAATAATAATAATAATAATAATAATAATAATAATAATAATAATAATAATAATAATAATAATAATAATAATAATAATAATAATAATAATAATAATAATAATAATAATAATAATAATAATAATAATAATAATAATAATAATAATAATAATAATAATAATAATAATAATAATAATAATAATAATAATAATAATAATAATAATAATAATAATAATAATAATAATAATAATAATAATAATAATAATAATAATAATAATAATAATAATAATAATAATAATAATAATAATAATAATAATAATAATAATAATAATAATAATAATAATAATAATAATAATAATAATAATAATAATAATAATAATAATAATAATAATAATAATAATAATAATAATAATAATAATAATAATAATAATAATAATAATAATAATAATAATAATAATAATAATAATAATAATAATAATAATAATAATAATAATAATAATAATAATAATAATAATAATAATAATAATAATAATAATAATAATAATAATAATAATAATAATAATAATAATAATAATAATAATAATAATAATAATAATAATAATAATAATAATAATAATAATAATAATAATAATAATAATAATAATAATAATAATAATAATAATAATAATAATAATAATAATAATAATAATAATAATAATAATAATAATAATAATAATAATAATAATAATAATAATAATAATAATAATAATAATAATAATAATAATAATAATAATAATAATAATAATAATAATAATAATAATAATAATAATAATAATAATAATAATAATAATAATAATAATAATAATAATAATAATAATAATAATAATAATAATAATAATAATAATAATAATAATAATAATAATAATAATAATAATAATAATAATAATAATAATAATAATAATAATAATAATAATAATAATAATAATAATAATAATAATAATAATAATAATAATAATAATAATAATAATAATAATAATAATAATAATAATAATAATAATAATAATAATAATAATAATAATAATAATAATAATAATAATAATAATAATAATAATAATAATAATAATAATAATAATAATAATAATAATAATAATAATAATAATAATAATAATAATAATAATAATAATAATAATAATAATAATAATAATAATAATAATAATAATAATAATAATAATAATAATAATAATAATAATAATAATAATAATAATAATAATAATAATAATAATAATAATAATAATAATAATAATAATAATAATAATAATAATAATAATAATAATAATAATAATAATAATAATAATAATAATAATAATAATAATAATAATAATAATAATAATAATAATAATAATAATAATAATAATAATAATAATAATAATAATAATAATAATAATAATAATAATAATAATAATAATAATAATAATAATAATAATAATAATAATAATAATAATAATAATAATAATAATAATAATAATAATAATAATAATAATAATAATAATAATAATAATAATAATAATAATAATAATAATAATAATAATAATAATAATAATAATAATAATAATAATAATAATAATAATAATAATAATAATAATAATAATAATAATAATAATAATAATAATAATAATAATAATAATAATAATAATAATAATAATAATAATAATAATAATAATAATAATAATAATAATAATAATAATAATAATAATAATAATAATAATAATAATAATAATAATAATAATAATAATAATAATAATAATAATAATAATAATAATAATAATAATAATAATAATAATAATAATAATAATAATAATAATAATAATAATAATAATAATAATAATAATAATAATAATAATAATAATAATAATAATAATAATAATAATAATAATAATAATAATAATAATAATAATAATAATAATAATAATAATAATAATAATAATAATAATAATAATAATAATAATAATAATAATAATAATAATAATAATAATAATAATAATAATAATAATAATAATAATAATAATAATAATAATAATAATAATAATAATAATAATAATAATAATAATAATAATAATAATAATAATAATAATAATAATAATAATAATAATAATAATAATAATAATAATAATAATAATAATAATAATAATAATAATAATAATAATAATAATAATAATAATAATAATAATAATAATAATAATAATAATAATAATAATAATAATAATAATAATAATAATAATAATAATAATAATAATAATAATAATAATAATAATAATAATAATAATAATAATAATAATAATAATAATAATAATAATAATAATAATAATAATAATAATAATAATAATAATAATAATAATAATAATAATAATAATAATAATAATAATATATATGTATTACATATGTATTATATAATATAATATAATAAACATAGTTGCATAAATTATTTTACTATAATATTATTACTAATCAGGTAACATAGTATATGCTCAGATCCATAATAACTGTATTAAAATACGTAATTATTTTGATAGAGTTAATATGTGATATAAAAAGAACATCGAAAATAATATCTTCTAATTAATATGAACTGTTTTAGTTAATATGAAACTGAAACTTTTCTAGAATTTTTCTTCGATCTTATAATATATGGGATGCATTAAATAATATTTTGTGTTAAATCATATTTTCGCATTATTAAATTGTCATTCAAATAGAAAGAAATCTCAATAAATAAAATGTAAAATATTTATGATATGTTACATGTTATTATTACCTGAAAATTATTAGTGTAATTCTCCTTATATCATTAGTTTACATTTTAAACAAGCAAACGAATAAAAAGGTAAAGAAGCAAAATAATATAATTCCGAGAAAAGATTTTTAGCGCGAAATTTATTAGAAAGATGGCGGTAATGGAATACGCATTGTGGCGGCCTCGTTGCGACTGTTACGCCTTCTATGGAAAGCACATAAAGACAATAAACACGCTACGAAGCCACAAAAGAAGCCGGCAACAAAAGAAGACTGAAAAAATCATCCATCATGAAATCATATCCAAAGCTGCCAAAGTTAATTATTGGTTAAACTACTGTGTACCTGATAAAGTTAAATAAATATATTATAATCATTGCTTGATTCATAAAGTTTTTATTTTCAAAGTTTCTATTTACAAAGTTTCTACTTACATAAATAACTCATAGCATACAAATTGCGAACATTATTGTTTCTTCATGTTTTTAACTTATAAGGTAAAGATCATGCATTTAATTGAATTGAATTTAATTAAAAAAATAATTTTAATACAAATTTTTTTAATATTACTTAACACTTTGGCTAAATTTGTGAATATTACATAAATTAATATGTATGTGTGCACGCACAAAGATATAAATTTTCATCTCTAAAATATATTATTTTAAAGAAAGAATATGTTAAATAAATATAATTATAATCTCTAAATAGAGTAGTTAATGTAAATAACATTTTCAATTTTATCCTACATATCCTGATATTATGTGATTGTGTTTTATTTGATTTTTATATAAATGATATGAGCATTGCCGTAAATTTTGAAAGTTACTATTAAAACAGCAATTTTAGACAATATTTTAGAGAAGAAAAAATTGGTTCTATAGCAGGCTATAGATAGATAAATTTCTCCTTTTACTGATCATCTACATTCTTTGACAGAAATTCGCTCGACTGAGTTAATATTTAATGTGTCGAAAATACGCATTCAACCGGCACTTTCAGAATATGGCACTTTAATTATCCTTTATCCTTAAATAAATGCATGTTTAGATCTTTTTCTAAAATGTCATCAATAATTAAGATTGATGGAAGTATAGGAGAAGGTGTAAGTTTGTATTTTATTTGATATTTTGTATAACATTGTATATTAAAAGAAGCATATATCATCAATATATTATACAGGGTGGACAAATTTTAAGACTAGCTGTATCTTTGAGTGCACTTTATGGAATACCTATTGAGATTAATAATATAAGAGCAGGCCGATCTACACCTGGATTAGCAAGGCAACATTTAAAAGGTACACATACATATCTATTATAAGAAGAATATTTAAAGTTTTATATATTTACTTGATAATATTTCTACTTTATTAATTTAATAGGAATAGAATTAGTGAAAGATATGTGTAATGCAGAAGTTTCTGGAGCATATTTAGGATCAACACATTTAAAGTTCTATCCAAGATCATTACATAGATATGCAACTGAATTTGAAGCTGATCTGCCGACAAATGGCTCTATATGTTTGTTGGCACAAATTGCATTACCATGTGTTCTATTTCTACCACAAAAATCTGATATTCTATTAATTCTTAAAGGAGGCACAAATGTTACTATGGCACCTCATATAGAATATCTTACAGAAGTAATTAGGCCCATATTGAATAAATTTGGAGCAGATTTTGATTTTATTATTTTAAAAAGGTGTTTATTAGTTTTTATTCATTTCTTTTATATAAAATTTCACATGTACGTAGTTTTAAATTAATTATGATTGAAGGGGTTATTATCCAGACGGAGTAGGTACAGTGCATTTACGTATAACACCAATAAGAAACTTGAATGCAGTTAACATAACTGATCTTGGTATACTTCGTGAAATATCAGGCTGGGCTTATGTAACTGGATATATAAGTATACATGTATGTTAAAATCAATTATAACTATATTAATTATAATTAATATCAGTTTCATGTTATAGGAAGCAGAAAAAATAGCTATTGATGCTAAAACTTTCTTAAATTTTAAACTAACAAAAAATAATGTTGAAGTTCCTCCTATCAATATTGAATCTTCCAAAGAACACAGACAAACATATGGATCTGGTATTAAGTGAGTTTTAATATCTAAAAAGAAAACTAGATACTCAAATATTTTTCATATTTTCTTTCATAGTAAAAAGAAAACATCGGATTTTAATTAGAAAATATTGATAAATTATATTTATTTCATTTAAAACAACAGTATAGTTTGCTCAACAACAACAGGCTGTATATTTGGTGGTTCTGGTATGACACTGAAAATAAGACATATGGTAAAACCAGGTATATTTGCAGCTAATGAAGTTTTAGAACCGTTCCTAAATGGAGCATGCGTAGATTATTATGCTCAAGATCAAGTAAGTTGCTTATTATAATTTCATGACAAATTTATTATTCTTATTATAACTAATCTTTCTTTCTTTAGATAATAATTTTTATGGCATTGGCGAAAGGAATTTCAAGGGTTAAAATAGGAAACAAGATTACTTCTCATACTAAGACTGCCATGAAAATTGCAGAAATAATGTTAGGCAACCGTGGACTTCGTTTTCATTTATTAGAAAGTGGAAGAGTAGGAAATTCACCTTCCTATATTTTAGAATGTGAAGGATGCGGATTGATCAATAATTTCACAGAATAACATTAAAAATATATTACGATAGTAATTCGTGTTAAATATTTAAAATAAATGTATAGTTTGTAAATTCTTAATATTATTCTTGTTTTTGTCTAAAAAATGGTTCTATAGCTCGTAAAACTTCTAATTCGAATAATTCACTAGAAAATCGACTAACAGATGCTCTGAAAAAAAGACATTAAAATTAAATACAAAATGTAATATAACAATTTACGAAAATGGTGTTCTAAATTGATTAACTATGGTACCTTGCAGCTAATCTAATAGTCTTTTTATCTTCAGGATACATATTTATAATATGTGCTATTATTTTCGCATATTCTTCTGCTTCTTCTGCTAAAAAACCAGTTTGACTACCAGGCTGCGTTTCTATTATGTCCGCTCTGAAATATTACATTTTTAGTTAAAAAAAATTATTTCGAATAAATGAATTCTTTTTTTTTTTTTTTTTTTTTTCATATCATAAATTTAAAAACAAATATAATAATTTCAATACCTTGGTCCACCAGAATCATGAGCTATCATAATTAATCCAGTAGCCATGCATTCTACTATACTGATACCAAAATGTTCGTTCCACATTGCATGCAATCCTATTGATGCTTTTTGTAGTTCTGATACAAGTTCAGAATAAGGTATATTCAATTTAAATTCAACATTTTCATCCAAAGCAAAATGTTTAGATAAGTCTTGCATGTCTTTTACACGTACTTCATCTCCTTCATCTCTACAAGATCCAATGAATACCAAGCGTATCTAAAAAGATAATCAAGAATTTACACTAAGAAATCATTGATTTGATTTTTATAAAAAACATTCTAATTACCTTTTCCCATACTTCCTCTTTAACTATCGATCTTAATTCATACATTGCTCTCAACATGAGAGGATGATTTTTTTCTGGCCTAAATTGTGCAATAGATACTATTCGAATTTGACTATCTTCTTTGGTATCATCAAAAAGTGGAAGAGATGTTAAATGCTGTACATTTGTTGGTGGATAGATTCTGTGAGTCCGCAAAGGGCATTTCCAAATGGCATTAATATGTTCTTCTGTCCAGGAAGAATTCACCATTACAATCTCTGCTGTCCTACCAGCAAGTCCATATAACTGCATGAATAATTATCATATTATCATTTTAATAATGTAATATTAAATGTTTAATTATAAATGTATAATTATAGATTACTAAAAATAAAAATATTTACCAATGCAAATAATCTATAATAAACAATTTTCGCAGCTGATAAAAATGGATTTCTTGCGATTATACGACGATTATTATGTGATATTACACGTTTGTAAACATGTCTCAACATATCCGTTGAAATTGTAGGATAATGGGTGTATGATGCAACTTTACAACCTCCTATATATCTAAATAGTGGATATGTAAAAGCATAACCCATTGTATCAATATAAATATCTAAAATAGAAATAAAATAGATGTTACAAAGTTTAAATAAAAAATTTTTTATTATATTGCAATTTTACCTGGTACTAAATTATTTAATGCCTCAATACCCAACCATATAGATCCTAAACTTTGACCCAAAAGTGTGAAATAAGGATACATTTGTGCTTCTACCCATTTACGTTTATGAAGATATATAAATTGAATATTCGATTGAATTTTTATATTAAATGATTTTTGTGATCTATTTAAAATTTGTTCAGGATCAGCATCCAAGTCTCCGGTATAAATGACTATATGTATATTTGGATATCTGTATAAATTAATAAAAAGAAAGAAAATAAATATACATTTATCTATCATATATTATATCATAGAATTTTTTAATATACTTAGATTGTATAGCTTTAATAGCTGCCCAGAGTACTCTTTCACCTCCGCCACCTGCATTACAATATGGGTGGAAAAATGCAACAACAGTTCCTTTTCGTTTCCTATTTGTACGTTCTTTTGCATATATTCTTCTCCAATATATTAATAACATTGGTAATGTAAGTAAAACGAATAAAAGTGTACAGACAATTATTATTAATGTCATGTTCACTATTAATATTATAGGTGTTCTGAAATAAAATAATGTATTGAATATACTTTATTGTCCTCTTAAGTTTAACGTTACAAGGTCTACATGCGACACGTGCTTATTAATGCAAAACACTTATACTGTATAACAAATTATTTATATCAGAGATATGCTTACAATAAAGAATAAATATTCATATTCTTTTGTTTTCAATGATCAGTGCATGTAATATAGTATTTCAAAAGTTGACGTGTAACATTTCATATGGCATCTCGTTTTAAATCTAACCTATAAATAGTTAATGCAATTCTATCATTGTAACAAAATATATACAATTATTATAGAAGTTATTATAAATTGTTAATAAAATATAAATTCTTTCAGTACAATTTTTATTATTTAAAAAAATAATACTTCTGAATATACAAAGTTTCGCGCGAAAACTTTGCATATAAAATCGAGGTTAATAATTGTTCATAAATAAAGCTTATTAAATATTATAACGTTTAAATAATGTCATAGCTTTAAACAAATTTAGGATACTTTTTATTGTTTACTTATATTAATCGCGAATGAATTAAAAATATATAATATTGTTATTTATTAAAGAAAACCAATAAATACAAAAAAAAAAAAAAAAAGATGGAATTTTTGTTTCCTTTCATATGTGATTAGAAAAAAACCTTTGCCTTGCAGTTTGAAACAAATCTGTAAAACCTTGTCCCCACTGAAGCAACAACAACGGAGAACTTTTTGTTGATGTTCCAAGTATTTCAAAAAAGTCGCCACTTATTATCGAAGGTTATTTCGTCATTCTTAGCAAGAAAAGTCGTCGTTTATCTCTTTCCACTCGGACCGGTAAAAATAAAGAAAAATACAAGAAACGCACGGCCAATACATGACAACAGAAACAAATGTTCCCCCAGTTTATACGCTTTGTTGTCGATATTAACGTAATTCATACATATAAATATATATAGGTAAAATGTCCGAAATAGTAATATGGGACAATGAATTAATTATTAATTGAACAGTACAAAAAATACGGATATTTGTGGATTCCTTCAAATACACATTATAAATGAAAAATTTTAAGAGAAGGCACGTGTAAAAAAATCAGTAGTGTTATCAAAACAGGTATAGTACAAGTACAACGAAAAATGAAAAATTTAAATGCACAATTTTACAGGGACCGAAGAAAAAATATTCCATGAAGAAATCAGGAGGTAAAGATTATTTATTTCTAAATGGTACGCTTATAATTCCATGCTATATCTTAGCAATAAAAACATGATCCGCAAACGGAGTGATAAAGTTCTAAGTGAAAAAATGGAGGTAAGTTTTTAATTTAGTATATATATATATTTTATTAATTATAATTTTACCTAAATTATTTAATTTTTTTCAAAATACTGACTGTTATTTATTTTAATTTAAATCTAGTTTTCATTAACAATAATTTTATTTGCATGGAACTTGACCTTTGGGTGACAAAATATTTACTAAATTCTTTTAAAATATTTTCTGCTTTTTGTGAAGAATTATGTGATCTTTTTCTAATTGATGCAAGATTTAATTGATCTCCCATTTCTCGTTTCCATGAACCAGGTATAATGTTCTCTATATCATTACCTTTCAGATCAAACGTTTCTGTTGGTGTATATGACAAGAATGTCAATTCTAGAAAGAAATTGAATTACAGCTAAGAAAGTTGTGCAAGCGAATATAAGTGGCAACGATTTTCTCAAGTTCTGCCAGATGTAGAAGTAATAATTTTTATAGTACACTAAATTTACTAGACAAAATTCTGAAAATATTTTTTGAAATTTGTTCTTAACAACCAGCAATTAAAAATTCTTCGCAGTAATCCCTTTATTTGAGCTCCTGAATCCATGAAAAAATTTTGAAATTAAAAATTTCAATTTCTCTATATTTTTGAAATTATTTCAGACTTCTTCAGAATTTAATGAGAGCGACACAAAAGTCAACAATGATAATTCGGAAACCTTACATGAAACAGAAGACATTAACAAAAAATGCAATCAACAAAAGTAAACCATAAAGCCAGAAACATGGAATTTTATCCAAAAAGAACACAGTCCAAATGTTTCTACAAAAGAAAAATTAAATTATTCTTCAGATGAAGGACAAACTAAGAAATCTCAAAATTCACCTAATAACAAAGCTTTAAGCGAAAGAAAATAACAAACAATTTGACATCAATGAAGACTACTCGACAATGAAAAGAACATCATGATAGATTTACAGTTTTTGGTGAGTATATAGCATATAAATTGAGAGCAGTTTGGACAGACCATTCACAGAATATGGTAGAACATATTATTTGCAACATTCTGAGGGAAGCATCAATAAGCAATTACGATCAACCATCATTTCTTCAAAATTCATCATCAACTTCATAATCTTCAGGATTGAACAAATTATTACTTATAATTTTACCACCGTTCATTTCAAATCAATGAATATGAAGTTACTTCATGTTCTATAACACTATTATTCCTCTAATCATATTATGATGGTAATACTGTTTATTGTGTAAATGAACATGTTATGCCATAGACTCAAGAAAGTAACATTATATAATTAGCTATTGGCTATAAGGTATAATTAATTAATATATTTAATAAACTTTTTACCTTTTATGTAAAAATAAAATAATATTTATTTACAATTACATGTTCTTTCAACACTTAAGAATAATTTTAGAAATTACCTGTTTTGAAATTTTGAAAAGGTATATCAATGAATGGTCAGAAATTTCAACATAACTAACAATTATTTTGAGATATTGCTAGTCTACAAATAGGATTGGTGCTTCGAAGTAGATACTTTAAGTTCGTATTTAACAAGCGTATAAAAATTTGAAGGTTAACATCCATTTGTTAAAAAGTTATATTTCAATGCATTCATAAGTTGCATGCCTCTGAATTTTGGATGATTTAAAGTTGATCAAAACCTACATTTTGTTTTTTCCTCTTTTTACCACTGATAATAAATGCCGCAGTTGAAAGGAGCAAGTCTTTTTTAGTCATCATTAACAGCTTGAAACAAACTGACTTGCGTATGGACAACTATTTGTTAGAACAACAAACGTAACTTTGAAGTCGTAAACATAACACAAATGTTCCTCAGATTATGTTGTTTCAATGTAGACGAAATGTTTTTCGGTAAATTGGGGCCCGCTGGAAATGT